GCTCTGGGTTGGGAAATGCCTAAAGATTTGGGGGGTGGAGCCTGAGGAGGGCGGGGTTTGGGGAAGGGAGGGACCTCAGTGGGGTGTAAATGCCATACGGGCTCTTTTTGAAGCAGGTACTCATTTGCATATTAAGCGACACACCCCTAATGTAGCCAGTCCTCCAAGAGCTTACAGTAGCTCCTGTAAGAAGAGCTCTGTAAGCTCTTGGAGGATTGGCTACATTAGGGGTGTGTGGCCCAATATGCAAAGGAGTTCCTGCTACAAAAAGAGGCCTGAGTCTACCCCGAGATAATTACAGGGGTGAACTCGCGTGTAGTGTAGGCAGGGCTCTTTTTGTAGCAGGAACTCCTTTGCATATTAATAAAGGACCTTCCCCATCAGAGCTGGCATCGGTACACTGTATTCCAGTGACCTCTGAATAGTTTGTTATTCCCTTGATCCAGATTGAAGGTTGATTAAGGGCGATTCTGCCTCTGGCGTTCACTCCATATTTTCTCAACCGGGAGGAAAAGGTGCGGCTCAAAACCAGTGTTCCCTCTGAGCTGAGTCGGTGTGAGCCAGCTCACAGTTTTTTTTAGCCTCCACCTCACACATTTTTGTCTTAGCTCAGGAAGGGTGGCTCCGGAGCAAACTAATTGATGCAGCAGCCAGATCGCTCGCTCACAACTCTCATGCCAGTGGCTCACAAAGTAGAATTTTTTGCTTACAAGACTCCACAGCTTAGAGGGAGCATTGCTCAAAACCACATCCAAATACTTCGGGGCAATGCCACACTGACTGCATAGTCAGCCCCGAACGGCCATAAATCTATGCAGAAGGTTCCATAAAATCCGATGATCATCCGATGATCACAGAAGGCGAAAGCGGCATGGAATGTGGAGGGCACCGTAAAACCCGATGATCAAAGGAAGTGAACGCGGCATGCAGTGCAGATGTGCCGTATGTAGAGATGGGTGAGAGCTCCTCCAACCTTATCACATAATCAGCCCCAGGTAAACTGAGCTGTGCACTGTTAAATTGCTGCATAGCGCATCATGAACCATTGGGGAGCGGCACCCAATGATGTAATCAGATTCACTGTGGGCATTCCCAAAGATTCCAGCCCTCCAAAATGTCTTCTTTTTGCTATACTGGTGGTGATGCTGGTAGACGAGCCAGACAGCCAAGTGGAAGGAGTAGGGGAGAGGAAGGAAAAACAGATTCTCCCACCCTTCTCTTTCCGGGCATCTCCTCTTTGATGTCATGCCTGGTGCATACTGGGAAGTGTAGTTCCCCAAACTCTTGATGTTTGAAATGTTTGGAGGCTTCCAACAGGTAAACTGTACTCCAGGTTCTCCAGATGCTGAGTGTATTGAGAGTAAATGTGGATGGCATTATTTTTATGTGGCTGGTAACCCTCAGTACATGAGCGGGAAGCCTTCTCTCGTCGGGGAATTCATTGATTTGCGCAGGGTCGGTTTCTATAACAAAATACACTCTTGGCCCAGGCACTCCTGTCTGGTAAGTAGACTGGCCTTGGTTTTAGATCACAGATGAACACATTTTAGAAAGCCTTTGAAAAAAAATATTGACAGCACGAGAGAAACCGTGTCATTTCCCCCCCGGTATTAAAGGTGGCCTGGATGGCCCAGGCTAGCTCGATCTTGTCCGATCTTGGATGCTGTGGAGGGTTGGGAGACCTCCAAGGAATCCCAGGGTTGCCATGCAAAGGCAGGCAATGGCAAACCACATTTGAACACCTCTTGCCTTGGAAACCCTATGGGGTCACCATAAGTTGGCTGCAACTTGAGGGTGCTTTCCATCACCCTACAAAGGTGTCCTGCCCCTAAAACAGAGGTTCCATTTAGTTACCGTGGCCAGTAGCCATTGATAACTGTGTCCTCCATGCATTTATTTGAACTCATACCAAGGTGGCTCAGAGGTTAAGACGCTGAACTGCAGACTGGAAGGCCGGTAGTTTGGCAGTTCGAGACCCGGGTGCCGCATGACGGAGTGAGCTCCTGCCTCTGGCCCCAGCTCCTGCCAGACTAGCAGTTTGAAAGCAAGAAATTGCAAGTAGATAAATAGGTATTGCCAGGGGTCATTTCGTAGAAAAAGAGCTAGGGGAACTCATTAGCATAACTCATTAGCATATGCCACACCCCCTGACATCACCGGAAGTGTGCCATAAGGCCACACACCCCGCCCCAACGGTCCCGGCCGCCACCGCTGGCCTTGCACCTCTACTGCCGAGCCCCATGAGGGGCCCGGCGGTGGACCTGCAAGGCCGGCGGGAGTGCGAGGGAGCCCCGCGAAGGCCCTCCCTGGCCCCAGGCAGGCAGGGGTGGGGAGAGGCAGGGAGGAAGCAACTTACCCTCCCTCTTCTCCTGCCTCCTCCTGACTGAATGAGGGCCGCAAGCGGGGCAGCTGGAAGCAGGGGGCGGGGCTTCGTCATGTGCCCCGCCCCCCGGTACCTCACCCGGGGGAACTGCGTTCCCCCGCATTCCCCCCCGAAATGACCTCTGGGTATTGCTTCGGTGGGAAGGTAACAGTGTTTCGTGTGCCTTGGCGTCTAGTCATGCCGGCCACATAACCATGGAGAAGTCTTCGGACAGCGCTGGCTCTTCGGCTTTGAAACGGAGATGAGCGCCGCCCCCTAGAGTCGGATTCGACTGGCTTTCGAGCAAGGGAAACCTTTACCTTTTACCTTTATACCAAGGTATGAGACTGCAGAGGAGCCCCACACAAAACCGACCCTACACAGCCCTTTCTAAAACTATTAATTTAAATGTGCCCCAACACACAAACAAAAAGCCCTAAATCTATTCATTAGCAAAATCTCCAACAAGCTACTGGGATTGAGAGGAATGTAGGTTGGTTCTGATAACATTGCTATCACTCATCTTTGAGGAAGGGAAACCTACTTGGCTCATCTGGAGCTAACAGCTGGCGAATCGAGTGGGGCCTCCAAATCCCTGCGCAGTTCCTATCCATAGTATATACATATTCATTCAGACTTTACTAGAGCAGTTAAGGGCTGAGCAATTCTTTGTTCGTTCTGCTTTGGAGAGATTTATGTGCATCGAGCTTCACATTAAGCCAGCCTGATGCATAAATTTGACTTCCGTTTCTGTGAGCTCCTACTCAGCAGAAATTGGGTACCAGGCTGTGACTCAGAGTCGAAGCACGTGGTTTGCATGCAGAAGGCTGCAGTTTCTGCTCTCGGCAGCTCCCGCTCAAGGATCTCCAGAGAACAGGCGTTGCAAAAAAGGCTTTCTCTGCTGGAGAGCTTCTGCCAGTCAGGGTAGCCAATAGCGAGCCCCGTGGATCAATAGTCTGATCGCATACAAGGCGGCTTCGTATGCGCAGATACACAAGTTGCCGCTTGTGTGTGTGTGCAGAAAATATAAGCAGTATTGCAAAATAAGATTAGATTCAGACATTATTTCTGGTGCAAAGGAGTCCAGGATGGAATGAGACATTTTGCAGAATTGGGGGGGGACAGACGGACGGACGGACGGGAGAGGAATAGATGTACATGGTACGATTTGCATAACATCTGGAAAAGGGAGCCTTTAAGGACCACAATGCTGGTATATCGTGAGCATATGGTTTTAAATTGATAGGCGCTCCAGCAGCAGTACACACATCCCTTTACGGGTATAATAATGCTGGCCAGGCTTACGGGGCGGTTGTGAGAGTAATTGAACGACTGGACCTGAAATGCTCTGCACGTTCTAAAGCACAATATAAATGAAATGTTATTAATAGTAATAAGACACAGCAGGTGTTTAAATTTGGGCTATGCATGGCTAAATCTCTGAGTCGAAGAAGGCCTTTGGGTGAGGCGATGGGCGTCCATTAATTGGCCTCCTTGCCACAGTTGCTGCTGTTTCTGCTACTGATAGGCTGCTACTGATAAGATCTTTATAGCCCGGCTCGCGGCCCGATTTCCCCCAGTTTTAGGACTGCTGAATATGTAATTGCTGCTGTGCCCATCTTTTAACTGTTTTTATTGCTTGATATCTACTTTTAATCATTTGTAATCTATTGTCGTAACCTGCCCTGAGCCGACTTGTGGGAAGGGCAGGACATAAATCTAAATAAACAAATCAATAAAATAAGATTCAGTTGGGACTGTAGATTCCTGTTGAGGTAGACTCCTCCGTCCAGGGGTTGGCTTCAGCCATAAATGGTCACACAGTAGTGGAGCACCAGTTTGGCACGCAGAAGGTCCCAGGTTCGATCCTTGGCATCTCCAGTTTAAAGGATCAGGTAAGAGGTGATGTGAAAGACCTTGGCCTGAGACTCCGGAGAGCGGCTGCCGGTCTTGATGGGACAATGGTCTGATTCAGTAGATAAACAAGTGTAAAGCCAACAGTCGTGATAGTCTGACCCACAATCAAACAGCCATAAGACTTATAAAGAATGCTGTTTATGTATTGCAGTCTAAAGCACTACAACATGATACACAACTCAATAGAAAATCCTTGATCCAAGGTACATAATCAACGCCCGGGATCCAGTAGAAACATAGCAGCATATCTTGAGCTTGAATGTTAATTGAAATCAGCGTCCTATCTGAATTTAATATTCTTAAGACTTGTTGTCTAACATTTATGAAACCGAGAGCTTTGGCACCACTATAATACCTCCTGAAGAAGATCCATTTTTTGAAACGTTGTTATGTAATCCGGGGATGACGTTGATTATGTACCTTGGTTCAAGGATTTTCTGTTGAGTTGTGTGTCATGTTGTAGTGCTCTAGATTGCAATACATAAACAGCATTCTTTATAAGTCTTATGACTGTTTGATTGTGGGTCAGACTATCACGACTCTGATTCAGTATTGGGTAGCCTCGTGTGTTCACCCTTTCCCCGGCTGGGGGGAACTTAGGATAGCTGTGAACGTTTTGTGCCAACCATGTTCTATCGGGTCTGCACTGGTAAGTGCTACCAGGTGAATGCATGTCACCCTTCTGATCTCCACTGACGCCCCTTTTTCCTGTCTCTTCCAGGCCGCGCCAGCCTTCATGACAAGGCGTCTCTGCGCATCGAGCAGATTCGCTCCGAGGACCAGGGCTGGTACGAGTGCAAAGTGCTCATGTTGGATCAGCAGTATGACACTTTTCACAACGGCAGCTGGGTGCATCTCACAGTCAACGGTAAGTACCACGGTGTCCTGGTCCAAGCCAGTTTCAGGCTCCCGGTTCCACCGGCCAAAACCGCACCCGCACCCCCCCTCTTAGTTTGTGACACACTCATATTGCCAAGGTGCATGGGAGGAGTCTTCTTCTCAGGCGCATCCAATGCGGTGAATTGTCCAGAATGGACTCGACCATAAAGCCAACAGCAACCATTTCTGTATGTACATTTGTGTTTTCTGAGCTTTGTCTTTCCTGTTAGAGCCAGGTTGGTGTAGTGGTAAGGAGTGCAGACTCTAATATGGGAGAACCGGGTTTGATTCCCCACTCCTCTACGTGCAGCTGCTGGATGACCTTGGGCAAGCCGCAGTTCTCTCAGAGCTGTTCTCTCAAGAGCAGCCCTCGAAAGAGCTCTCTCAGCCCCACCTGCCTCACAGGGTGCCTGTTGTGGGGAGGGGAAGGGAAGGAGATCGTAAGCCGCTCTGAGACTCCTTCGGGTAGTGAAGAGCAGGGTATTAAAACCAACTCTTCTTCTTCTTCTGGGTGAGGACTTGCAAAATACCAATAATACACTGCTCTCTCTTTTACATTGGCATTTGAGGCACCTGTGTCTTGGTTGCTAGGGGCTTCTTTGATTCCCCCCCCCCTGGCTATATTTGAAGGAGCCATCTGTTGAGAACAGGGCCCAAGACCCCCCATCTGTTTCTTTATCAGACAGCACTTGTAGCAGACAAAGCTCAGAGGGGGCTTCAGAATAGTCTAAATTACAATCTTTCCAAGGTGGCTGGTGAGAGGGAAATAGAGGAGTTTGCGTAAAAGGGTACTAGAAAAAAGGATGATATTTAGAGGAAGCCAGCTAACTGCAGGGGCTTCTCTGGGAGGATGGTAGGAGACAGAGGGGATGGATCCTTTACAAAATAAGGATTTCTGTGCTCTGGGTGGGAATTTGTGTCGGTTTTTTTTTTTCTGCTGCCCCCCCCCCCCCCCCCAGCCTGGAGAAATAAAATGCCTGTTCGGTAGCACTACATTGGTGCCTTAATGCGGAACCAAGTTGACATTTGTAGAGTAAATCACGGGGACCTGTAATTCTCCTGTAACCCAGCGACTACATCCCTTACCGTTACTCAAGTGACCAAGAAGGCATTCATGAGCACAGTCGTTTGGAACGTCCTTCCATGTACAAACCTGCCTTTCCCATGTAAGAATTCTGTCCTCTGTTACTCGTGGGACTGATCAATGATCTCCTTGCAGATCGTCTTAGCAGGTGGCTGCTGTCGTGCACCAGCTTGGCTGATTCTAGACAGGAACTTGGGTTCTTTTTAACCACGGCCTACTGAACGGGCTGGTAGCGGAGTGTTTGGAAGGCAGGATGTAGAGCGAAAGGGGAGCAGGAGGCAGGATTCCAGGACCATGGACAGTTCACAGGCAGCAGACTAGTTATCCCGACAAAAGGTGATAAAGGAGCTGAGAGTTTCCAGAGCTCTGTGATCCATTGAGAGGGGGAGGTGGTTCAGTATCACGGATGTTGCATTGGCTGAAATTGGCCTTGTAAGAAGTGGTGATTCAGATGTTACCAGACCTGAAATTACTGCTGGGCCAGTGGTGTGTGTCCATTCCGGGAATACTCATAGTATAGAAGTAAGTTAGTAGAAGCACAAGTAGAAGAAAGGGCTGACCTGGCCCATCCCTACGGTGGGGCTATTGGGGGCTTTGCCCCCTTCCTTAAAAGGCCAACCCCCCTCCTTAAAGGGCCTGTGCTTCTTAAAGCCCCCCCCCAAAGCCTTTAAAGGGATTCTTGAAATGCTTTTGAGAAAAAGTGGGGGATGGCACATGCCCCTCTCCCTCCCTCCTGCAAGATTTAAAGGGCCCTCCCGCTTGCAGTAGGGGAGGGAGAGGGGGGCGTGCTACCCCCCTCTTCATTATGGCAAATAATGGCAGCCCCACCAGAAAAAAAATTTGCCCAACAAGCCACAAAATCCTGGCTATGGGCCCTTGGGAATGTAGTAAGAATGTAGCGGTGGTGGAAAGTTCTGTCAGGTGGCAGCCAGTTTATGGTGAGTGGTGACCAGTGTTCCCTCTAAGCTGAGTTAAGTGTGAGCTAGCTCACAGATTTTTAGCCTCCAGCTCACATTTTTGTCTTAGCTCAGGAAGGATGGCTCCAGAGGAAACTAATTTATGCAGTCGCCAAATCGCCCCCTCACAACTTCAATGCTGGTAGCTCAGCAAGTAGACTTTTTGCTCACAAGACTCCACAGCTTAGAGGGAGCATTGGTGGTGACCTCGTAAGGTTCCTGAGGCAAGAGATGTCCAGAGGTGGTCTGCCACTTCCTGCCTCTGCGCAGCAACCCTGGACCTCCTTGGTGGTCTCCCATCCAAGTACTAACCAGGGCCGACCCTGCTCAGCTTCCGAGATCTGACGAGATTGGACTAGCCTGGGCCATCCAGGTCAGGGCATGGATGTGGTAAGGGAATTTTAACGTACAGAAGGGGTGAACAACTGGCATCTTCCTTGGGCCAAATCTAGCATCGTCAGGTCTGCCAAGTGGGTCTTCGTTTTCCAAACCAGAAGCACGAGGAGTGGAGGAAACTTTGCCTGTTGCAATAGGCACTCCTGGAAGTCCACTTTGGAGAGAGGAGGCTGGTAAAACACCCCTCACATGGCTTTTAAAGGGGTCCTCCAGGCGACTAGTTGTAGACAAAGGGATGGGATCGGACGGCCTGGCTTCTCCCCCTTTGCCAGCCATTCCAGTGGAGCCGGGAACATTTTCTTCCAGTTACCTTTCCAGGTACCGGTTAACTCTTTCAACTAAGGAGGTCAGCTGTCAGATGTAACTTCTGGACAAGCTATTACCAGTGTTTTTGGGAGATCAGAGGCTAAGGAGGGCAAAATGTTAGAGAAAAGCAGAGAGGGGAAGTTAGCAATCTCATTAAGCGGCTCTCTGTGTCTTATTCGAGGACACTGGCTGGGAGGTGGGGGGGGGGAAGACCTTCAGGAGAATGAACAACTTGGCCTCGTTAACTTTTAATAAGGGCTTTGCACTCAACGGAGCATCCCGTAATGTGCGTTTCTGGAAGGATTAGGCATGCTCACTGAGCCAGTCTCTGCTCCGCTGTGCCACGGCTTGGAAGATTTTGCACATGCCAGTCTTGAGAGGCACGGTCTGGGTGAAGCAGAGGATCGGGGCCGGCTTTCGAGCAAGGCTCCCAAGGACATTGCAAGGGCTCTGTCTTGTCTCTGATTGAGCAAAGCCAGTGTGGTGTTGTGGTTAGAGCGTAGGACTAGGAGCCGGGGGACCCCAGGTTCGAATCCTCACTCTGCCATGGAAGCCGGCTGGGTGACCTTGGGCTAATCACACACTCTCAGCCTAACCTACCTCACAGGGTTGTTGTGAGAATAAAATGGGAGAAGGGGAGAAAGGGCGTAAGCTGCTTTGGGTTCCCGTTGGCGAGAAAAAGCAGGGCATAAACAAATACATTAAAAAAGTTGTTGGGTTTGTGAGATTGAGAAAAATTGTATTTAGCAGAGATAAAATAGCTTAGCAGTGCCAGAGTAAAATAATTCAGACTCAGAGTCCATGTGTGATTAAAATATAAAGTTTTTACTAAATTCTAGCATAGGGAAGGGTAACTGGGATGAAAATAACAACAGAGCTAATCGGCTACATCCTTACACTACAAAAGACAAGACTAGAAGAAGAGTCATGGCTTCTCTTTCTTCTTCTTGAGAACAGCAAACAAAGACGGGAAGAGGAGCCATAAAATGCTAAAACACTTTGACACTTTCCTCCCAATCAAACTCCTAGATCAGGGAGAAATTTCCCGGGCTTGTACTCCTAAAACAGCATTGGTTACATGAAACACATGTGACTTCCTGTGAGCAACACAAACAAACATTTAACCCCATATACACTGAGTGTTTTCAACTTGTAATACCCAACAAAAGTAAATAAAGCCAGTCATGTAGGGAAGGTAGAACTTTGTCACATCTTGTTTCAAAGGTGAAAAGAGAGAGGCCGCCTGTCAGTTAACACTGCCATTCCCTGGAATGTGGGGAGGGGGGGAGATCCTCCTCTCCTCTGCCTGGTACACTAATGATGTCTCCTGTCTGGGTTGTTATCTGCTTTTGCTTTTCTGACTTTGGGGTTCCAGCTACTCCTGACCTGCTGGGAACAAACGGCTCCTATTTCGCCCACTCTCTTTTCTCCCCCACGCGCACACAATGCTTATTGGCTTCTGCTTGTAATGGGGGGTGTTTTGAAACTACTATAACTCTGGGTGCCCTGCTGTTTTGGGCCATTCCTGACAAAAGAAGTTCACGTGTCATAGTTGTGAAACACCAATAAACAGAATACTTCTTATGAAGCGCTGTGTGGTGTGATCTGACTATCGAACCCTGACACCGCCTTGAGGATGAGGGGTGCCTTTGTCCCCCCCCTCTCTGGGCCTAAATTTCAACTGATATCTTATTTCTGTTTTGAGGGTAGCTTCTTTGGATATTTGGCTACTCCAGTGGGATGCTTCAGTGTTACGGAATGCAAAATCACGGGAGCAAATTTTAGACCTCTGGGACTTCTGCAAGATCATGCAGTGAATTAGTGGTGCCAGTAGGCAAAGGAATGCAGGGGTGGAGACCCCAGATTATGTACTGTGATCACTGAATCTTTTTATACTCCCTCCTTTATACTCCCCCCCCCCGGTTTTAATAGAGGGCTGTCTGAGGCTCCTGTTAACATCGGTGCTAAGTAGGTCATTCCTGTAAAGTTAAAACCCCCCACAGTTTATAATTCGTGCAGTTTGGTTTAGTGGTTAAGAGTGCGGACTATAATCTGGGAGAACCAGGTTTGATCCCCCACTCCTCTATATGCAGCCACTAGTGTGACCTTGGGTCAGTCCCAAGTTAGAGCTGTTCTCTCAAGGGCAGTCCTCAAAAGAGCTCTCTCAGCCCCGGCTACCTCACAGGGTGTCTGTAGTGGGGAGGGGAAGGGAAAGGGATTGTAAGCCACTCTGAGACTCTTTGGGGTAGTGAAGGGCGGGGTATAAATCCAATTTCTCCTCCCCCCCCAGCACTGATTAGGCTCAGGTTTTTTTTTCTTTGCTTTTTCCCCTCCCCCCCATTTTCTTTGATCACTGCCAGCTATTTCACACCTCTTAGACAGGCACAAGGGGAGAATGTGGGATAAAGAGGGGGTTGCGGTTACATCCCTGTTGACCGTAGATGGAAATTCTGACTGGTGCTGACTTTGGGCTCCTGAAACGCTCTTGGAACGGACTGGCCCATTTTGAATCTTCCTGTCAGTACACAGAATGCTTTTAGAGCTGAAACGAACAGATATGCCAGAACTGGAGCATTTCTTCTAAATGAATGACTCACTGGCTCAGTCCAGCTGCTCTCCCTTGAGTCTGTGGGGTTGCGGTTTCAAATCCCCTTTTCCCCATGCCGAGAGCAAGCTGAGAGCTCTACCTTAAACATTAGCATGCAGACATCTGCAAAGCAGAACTCCTGCTGCTTTGATCAGGCATGGATCTGTGGGTTCAACTCTTACACCGGTTGAGAAAGGCTGATAGATTTATGGGGACAGCTGTAGCTTAATGGCAGTGTACATTTGTCGCATATGAAATTCAGCCCAGGCATCTCTGGTTAGAGGATTTCAAGTAGGAGGGAAATGTCGTTTTCCAGACCTTGGGGAGCTGTGACTCTGCTCAACGAACCAATGGCAAAACCTTCTACCTTTACAAATGTAGTCTCATGTCCCTCATTAAAGTAACTCACTGGGCCAGAGTTTAAAAGCAGGTTTGATTTCTTTGATTCTCTCCAGGACTCTGCGAAGCAAAATAGGGAATGCAACTGAAATATCAGTGTGTTAACTTTATCACCTGCATTAGCTTTTTAAAATTGCCAAGATACATTGGCCCAAGCAGGAGATGAGAGGAAGATGAAGAAGAGAAGAGATTGGATTTATACCCCGCCCTTCACTACCCAAAGGTGTCCCAGAGCGGCTTACAAATTCCTTTCCCTTCCCCTCCCCACAACAGACACCCTGTGAGGTGGGTGGGGCTGAGAGAGCTCTGACAGAAACTGCTCTTTTTCAAGAACAGCTCTTATCAGAGCTATGGCTTGCCCAAGGCCATCCAGCCAGGTGCAAGTGGAGGAGTGGGGAATCAAACCCGGTTCTCCCAGATTAGAGTCTGCGCACTTAACCACTACACCAAGTGCAAAGCCTTTGCAGTCTCTGGGTCTTTTTTGAAACTTATTTTGAACTTCTTTGCTCTCCTGTTTTCTGGTAGGGAAACCGTGCTTGACAATGTTGTCTGTTTGTGCTTTAAAAGAACAAAAATGCTTAAAGCATTTTGAAGTGTGCCGCCCTGAATTTTTGTTGTGTGGGGCTTCTCAGACGTCGCTGGCAACGCAGACACTACAGCATTGTGAGCTGCAGAAAGTGAGACCTGCCAGTCTGGCTTCATTGTGCAAACTTAATGAATCATGAGAAATAAACTGAGTTGTGTCTGGTTCACTTGTCCGAGGGGTGGAGGTTGGGGAGCTCAACATTTAAGAACTAATGAGGTTTCCAATAGTTGTCTGGAGCCGGAATGGGAAGCTCTTTTTTCTTTCCCCTGCTTGGATTAGAAACCGGGGACTAGCATTTCCGGACATTTCACACATCAGAAATACACACCTGGAATGCTCATTGGTATTACAAATATCCCGTCTTCCCTAGAAACACTACCAAATGTAGCTGTCTCACCGCTTGACGTCCAAAATCCCGGTTTTGATTTTGTTCCTCCCCTGTGCGAATCGAGCCGAGTCAAACGCCCTTTTCTGTCTCCCCACACCAAGTGTGCCTGTTAAAATTTCACGATTGTAAAATTCTGGGGGGCAGCGATGGCACATAAATGGTGCACAACGTCAAAGCGGAGAACCCTGCTCGATCCTCGCCTCCAGTGCCCAAGGCCATGGCATGCAAGGAGGCAGCAAAAAGAGTTGCAAAATCCTTCCCGTGCCAGCACTCTCTGGCTGTTTCCAGAATGAGGCCAGAACCTGCCTGCCACATTTCTGCCCTGAGCATGTTTCCACCTCAGCCGGTATTCTGGCTGGAATCCAGCTAAACCCTGCAGCATCCCTAATTCACATTGGAAGCCACAAGCCCATGATACTCACAGCGCCTCTTTCCGTAACCTAATACCAGTAAGACACTGCAGCTCCCGAGGAATCTTTCCTTCCTTCCAAGTGACGTCAAGCCCTCTGGGCTTTTAATAACCTTATTACAATCTTAATCCTCTAGACCCAACAGTGAAAATGTAAAGTAACTCATATTCCTTTGGAGTGTAGCAGGATCCCTCCCTCTCCCCCCCCACTCGGCAAGCACATTAGCCCAGTTTATTTTCCTTTAAAAAAAAAATTAATAATGTTTTTGGGAGGGCGGGCACCAAGAAATCAATTCTTTTCAGAGCCGATTGAGATTGCCGCAACGTCTTCCTAGAAAATTGGACTTAACAGCTACTTATGATTAGGCCTATAGTGTAATTCTGCGAAGAGCGTGCTTTAATCAAAAGGCAAATTAGTATCTGTACTGCAGAGGCTTTGTGTGTCTTGATGGAAACTATTTAACCTGGAATGCTCGTGGGCTGGTGGTGGGTATAACGCAGTGGGACGAAACCTGCATTTCCAATGAGAGAGGAGTTTTCTGGCGATCCAGAGTAACGCCATCCTCCAAAGTTGCTTCCACCGTTTCGTACCAGTTCCCCTCCCCGCTCTCCCCTCAATCGTATCTTTGCAATGACTTCTGCAAGCTAACTCCGCAGTTGTTTATACCCAAGTCTATACCTGATTATTTCCACAGGGGCTCACAACATCCAACTAAGAACTGTAGCTTCATCAGACTCCTAGAACCACCAGCGTAGAAGTCAATTAAAAAAAAAAAGCAGTAATAAAATCAGATGTAAGGTAGCAGTGAATATCGTAGTAAAAATAGCAGCACGGCCTATTTTTAAAACTGGCAAATAAGTCAGGAGATTAAGCGGCGGTGGAGCCAACAGCAAGGTGGGAGGAAACGTGGAAAGTGGGAAAATATCGGGGTGTTTTTTAGTTGCCTGGGGCCGGGCAGAAAGGAACACACAACCGAAGGCCTTGGCAAAGGAGAAGGCGTCCTCCTGACTCCTCTCTCTCTCTCTCTCCCCCCTCTCCCCTGCAGCTCCCCCCACCTTCACAGAAACTCCCCCCCAATACGTAGAGGCAAAAGAAGGCAGCAGCATCACTCTGACCTGCATGGCTTTTGGGAACCCAAAACCAACCGTCACTTGGATGAAGGAGGGGGACCTCTTAGGTGCCAACAATAAATATCAGGTAAGCTTGTGGTCCCGAGGGGCCCATAGGTTGCTCACAGAGCATGCGTTGCGCGCATGTAGAAGGTGCCAGGTTCAATCCTGATCGGGGGCCTGAAGACCAAGCCCTATGAGGAAAGGCTGAGAAGAGGAGGTTGAAAGGGGACAGGATTGCTCTCTCGAAGTCTTTGAAGGGCTGTCACTTAGAGGAGGGCAGGGAGCTGTTCCTGTTGGCCGCAGAGGAGAGGACTCGCAATCCTGGGTTTGAATTAAGGGCGGGAAGGTAAACCAGCTGGATCTTAGGGAAAATGTTTTGACAGTAAGAGTTGTGCAGCAGTGGAATGGGCTGCCTAGGGAGGTGGTGAGCTCCCCCTCACTGGTGGTCTTTAAGCAGCAGCTGGACAAACACTTGTCAGGGATGCTCTAGGCCAGTGATGGTGAACCTTTTAGAGACCGAGTGCCCAAACTGCGACCCAAAACCCACTTATTTATCGCAAAGTGCCAACACGGCAATTTAACCTGAATGCTGGGGTTTTACTTTAGAAAACAACTCAGACATTAACTTAAGATGATCCAAACAAAGCAAGGAAAGCCATCCCAAATGCTTTCATTTACTTAAAATTATTTGGCAGAGAATTCGACACTTTAACGACGGTCTGGGCCTGGCTGGGGCAATGGCATGCGTGCCCACAGAGAGGGCTCTGAGTGCCACCTCTGGCACCCGTGCCATAGGTTTGCCACCACTGCTTTAGGCTGATCCTGCATGGAGCAGGGGGTTCAACTAGATGGCCCGTGTGGCCCCTTCCAACTCTGTGAGATTCTCTGATTCTACGATTCTGTGATCTCCGCTCAGTGAGTCTCAGGCAGCAGGGCCGGGAACAGCCTCTTCCTCCACCACTAGAGTCCTTCTGCAGGGCAAAAGTAGACGACGCTCGACACTCGTCGAAATGGTCTCACTTGGTTTGAGCCAGCTTTCTATTAACTAAGCCAGAGATGGCTAGAGAGCAGCCCACTTATGGTTTAGTTCTTCTTCTTTGTATGTACTTCATCGTCCCCTGCCTTTCTCCCCCCACTGCACCTCACATCCTCCTCCTCTCCTCCACTTTATCCTCACAGCAACCCTGTGAGGTTGGTTAGACTGGGAGACCTTGGGAGTGGGGGCAAGCTTCCGTGGCGGGGGGGGGGGATTCAAACCTGGGCCCCTCAGATCTTAACAGTACGCCACACGGGTTCGCTTACTGACTCAAAGACTTGAAAGCAATATTACCTGGCCTCTGGGAACTATCCCAAATGATAGTTAGCATGCAGTTTCAGAAAGCTTTGCTAATTAGATTGGCTTGTGAGGAAGCAAGCAGAATCGGTCATGTATGGCCACCCACCAGGTGCTGGACGATGCTCTCGTTTTGCACCGGCCAGCGCAACCTGGCCTGACCGGCCAGCGCAACCGGTTGCGGTTGGGTTCAGCCTGGGGAGTCGTAAGCTGTGCAGACTTCAGGACATCTGTTCTGTATATGGGACACCTAAGAAGCCAAAGGGTGTCATTCGGCTGCACAGTCCAGGCTTCTTATCCAGAGAATTTTTCCTAGCTGTATTGCCAATGTTGAGAGCAGCTCACAAACCCATTTGCAACTTTTCTTTCAGTACAAAACAGTCTCCGAGCACATGCGGAGTCAGAATGTTAGCCGCTTGACTGTCTCTTGTCTGCTCTGCCCAGCAGAGAAAGGTCTTTCCGGTCCCCTCTATCAGAGATCCTTTTATGTGTGTGTGTGTGAGTATTTTGTGTCTGTGTGATGTGTGTATGCCTTGAAGTCATAGTTGACTTCTGGTGACCCCTAGTGGGGCTTGGACATGTCCCAGCCCTGGTATTCCTTGGAGGGCTCCCATCCCAGTACTTGCCAGGTTCGGCCCCGCTTAGCTTCCGAGATCTGACGAGATCGGGCTCGCCTGGGCTATCCAGGTCAGGGCTATCAGAGGTCTTTGAACTGGAAACAAACAGAATCTTTTGGCAACCCAGGAACATAAGAAGAGCCCTGCTGGATCAGACTATCTAATCCAGCTTCATGTTCCGCACAGTGGCCAACCAGTGACTCTGGAGGGCCAAGAAACAGGACATAGAGACTGAGGTTTCCCCCCTGGTATTGCCTCCTGGCACTGGTATTCAGAGTTTTACTGCCTCTGAACATGGAGGTCCCCTGTAGGCACCATGGCTAGCAGTCACGGAAAGACCTATCCACCATAAATCTGTCTAATCCCCCTTTAAAACCATCTAGCCAATTCGGTGTATTGGGTAGGAGCATGGACTCTAATCTGGGAGAACCGGGTTTGATTCCCCACTCCTCTACATGCAGCTGCTGGTGTGACCTTGGGTCAGTCACAAGTTCTCTCAGAGCTGTTCTCTCAAGGGCAGTTCTCCAGAGAGCTCTCTCAGCCCCACCTGCCTCACAGAGTGTCTGTTGTGGGGAGGGAAAGGAGATTGTAAGCCGCTCGGAGACTCCTTCGGGATAAATCCAATCTCTTCGTCACTTCTCTTCTTCTATGCTGTATCCGTGACCTCAGCAAACACATGAGTGTTGTGGCGTAAGGAGATTTCTTTCTTTTTTTTATGCCACCCCTTTAAAAAATCTGTGGTTACTCAAGGAATGGGTCGATGGCACCAGGATCCTTGAGGTGCCCCACCCCCACCCCCCCAAGGGACACAGTGCCCCGGTTTGCTTTTGGCCAAACCAGAGGAGCAGGAGGAGGCCGCCATTGCTGCCCCCAAAAGCTCCCATTTCCTCTCGCAAAGCCCTCCTTCCTTTCCCTCAGCCAGGAATTTCGTATGAATCGTAATTGGTAAATCAGCCTTTGGAATCGGGCGCTGGCCGCTAATGAGAGTAATTAGGAGTCATTTGTTATAAACTGAAATGGAAGGCCTGAGCGAAGTGAACATCAGTTTTGGCAGCGAGGGAGGGGAGGGAGGGGGGGAGGAGAGGGGGGGCAGTCAGAGGCAGGGAAAGGATGAGCATAGCTGCCTCTATGGCAACCCCATCCTCTGCCTGTCTCTCCCTCCCAGAGCTTGAGGTTCATAATGTTGCCCTGGTCTCTTCCTTCTGTTTCCAGGCATGCTAAGCATAGGACAGGGAAATAAAACAGCTTATGTGCTGGGATTGTAAATTGGCCTGCGGTGGCAGCATACTAGGTTTTGGATAGCATACCCTCTCTCCAAGAAGGAGATCTGCCACATATTAACGATGACGTGGTGGGGAGTGTCTTCGTCTAGGGATCTCCAGGAGTCGTTCCAGTGGCCCTGTGTGTGTTGTAAGGCGTAGTTCACTCTCTGTGGCCCACGTGGACACAGCTCTGTGCTTGGGTGGGTGTCCGTCTTGTGTTATTTCGCACGTCAAACTTTTCTTCTCATTTCTCAGGTTAGCGATGGGAGTCTGACTGTTATGTCCATCAATCGGGATGACAGAGGTGCTTACACCTGCCGGGCTTACAGTATCCAAGGAGAGGCCATGCACACCACCCGCCTGCTCGTCCAAGGTAATTTCCCAGACCGGAGAGTCTGTGGAGTTGTCTTCTTCACAGAGTTTAGCTTTTGGGTCAAAGGCATTGCTGGAAAGCTGAGGGGAGAACAGAGAATCTTCCTGTTGTGGCTCCCGTCACACCCTCTGCAGAGGTCACATTTTTAGAAAGTAAGTGATGATGGAGTTAAAACACAGAAATATAGAGCTGGGAGGGACCCCAAGGGTCATCTAGTCCAACCCCCTGCACAATGCAGGAAATCCATGGCTACTTCCCTCCCACTCCCCCACATGACCCTTGCACTGTGTTGTCATTAGGAAAGCGTATTTTTTGTTAAGAGTTTACGATCCAAAGGATTTTTTTCAACTCACTGATGGGTGGAAGTGGTGATTTTTGGATTTATTAAGTTTCATGTCCTGTGCTTTCTTTTCTTGTGATATCCCCCCCTGTGTTTCTTCAACGAAAGAGGAATTGACACAGGAGGTGCAGACTCTCTGCAATATAGAAGCTCTCCCCCGTCATGATGGGGATTTCGGTCACAGATTACATCCTGCACCTCTACCTGGAGTCTTCATTTGGTGTAATTACCCAGGGGGGTAATTAACACTGGAGGGATAACAAGCATTTGCTCACCAGTCGCAGGAGTGGTGCTGCGGTGGCTCAGTAGTTTAGACACTGAACTGCAGACCGGAAGGTCAGTAATTCAGCAGTTCGAGACCCGAGTGCCGCATGATGGAGTGAGCTCCCATCTCTGGTCCCAGCTCCTGCCAACCTAGCAGTTCGAAATTGCAAGTAGATAAATAGGGACCACTTCGGTGGGAAGGTAACAGCGTTCCATGCACCTCGGCATCTAGTCATGCTGGCCACATGACCACGGAAACGTCTTCGGACAGTGCTGGCTCTTCGGCTTGGAAACGGAGATGAGCACCGCCCCCTAGAGTTGGATTCGACTGGCTTTTGAGCAAGAGAAACCTTTACCTTTAGCAGGAGTGTTGCTAGGACGGTATTGCTCTGTGCTTTGTGTGTGTGTGTGTGTGTGTGTGTGTGTGTGAGAGAGAGAGAGAGAGAGAGAGAGAGAGAGAGAGAGACCGTAGGTTTTCAAGCATGGACCATAGGTTTTCAAGCATGGCTACAAGCATGGATGGCTTCAAAAGGGAATTAGATAAGCATATGGAGCAGAGGTCCATCAGGGGCTATTAGCCACAAGGTATAGATAGGGACTCTGGGGCAAGTGATGCTCTGTCATCTTGGTGCTTGGGGGGGGCAACAGTGGGATGGCTTCTAATGTCCTGGCCCCACTGGTGGACCTCCTGATGGCACTGGTATTTCTGGCCACTGTGTGACACAGAGTGTTAGACTGGATGGGCCTTTGGCCTGATCCAACACTGGCGTCTCTTATGCTCTTATGTTCTTAAGGCAAGGGACGAACAGGTTTCCCATGGCCTGCCTCTGCATAGCCAGCCTGGACTTCCTTGGTGGTCTCCATCCAAATACTAACCAGGGCTGACCATCCGTAGCTTCTGAGATCTGATGAGACTGTGCTAGTCTGGGCTGTCAACGTCAGTGCTTTTCAAAATGTACAAGGCAGCTTTTAGGACCCAGCTGAATACCTCCAGCAATCGGCAGATTCCTTCTTTGTTGCAGTGTGCCAAGAAGGGAAGCAGGGCCACTGCTAAAGCACAGGAATTCCTTACTTGTTGATTCCTTTGCCTCCGGAGCTCTGGACAGACCCTGGCCTTACCCGGAATTTAACCCCCTCTGCCTTCAATTGAGAAGGGGGGGTAGTGGCGGCAAAAGCCCTTGGAACCGCAGGCACCCAGACATAACGATCACGGCATCAGAAAAGAAGCCGCCAGACAAAGCAGCAGATTTTTTTTTTTTTTACAATGGGGCTTCACAAGCGCTGTTGACAAGTTCATTGAAAAGCCTTCAATGCATTCTTTGCGATAAAAGCCCTTAGTGCGGAGAGCATGAAGCCTAGCAAATTAAAGGGCCACTCTGACGGAAGTCGTGAAGGCTTTGCGGGGAAACACACACTGAACTGAAGGGAAGGAGCGCTTTCCAAAAATCTCCCCACATGCCTTCAATTGGACGACTTCTGCACAAAGCGGTAAAAGCCGGTTCTCGAAACCTCCGATTGCGCCGCTGCCTTGTGGCTGAATGCAGGATGTCGCAGACAATCGGAGAGGATCTTGTTGAGGTGTGTATAGTAGATGCCGTGAGACTTGGCCTTGGGGAGTCGCAAACAATCGAGAAAGATGAACCCAGGCTCTCCTTGAAAGGATGATGTGAGAAGCATGTTTAAAAGGATGAATGAAGCCTCTCCCCCCCCCCCAATCCAGTATTTGTGGAAATGAAAGCAACGCCCTCATTTGCACTTCAACTGTGTGAATCAACAGGCCTTTGCCGCTCGTGAACAATGCCATGTGTTCCTGAAAGTTGAGTCCGTAGAGGAGAACTGTTTCTTCTCTGAATTGTTGACCTCGAAGATGTATTCAGGACATGGAAGAATTGCATCTCCCACACGGTGCTGGGTGAGCAAAGTCACTTGCCATAGGTACTTAAGGGGCACTGTTGATGGCCACTCGTTCTGAGTTCCAGTTGTTAAGATATAGGTTTTCCCCACAAGTCACACACAAGATGCTTCATGAAGGTGCTTTAGGCATGTACATGCTTCCCTGGGAGATGTTGATTTCAGTAGCTTCATCGCAGACATGGTTAATCATACCTGAAGCAGTGCCCCAAACTCCGGAATTTTCAAAGTATTATGTGAGGAGGCTGGAGCTAAATGCATAGAATCATAAAATCATAGAGTTGGAAGGGACCTCCATAGTCCAATCCCCTGCACAATGCAGGAAGTTCACAAATACCCTCCCCCCAACATCCAGTGACCCCTGTTCCATGCCCAGAAGGTGGCAAAAAACCTCCAAGATCTCTAGTCAAACTGGCCTGGAGAAAAATTGCATCCTGACCCCAAAGTGGTGATCAACATTTCCCTGGGCATGTAAGAAAGGGCCACGAGAACTAACTAGGCAACCCTTCCTACCCTCCCTCTCGTGATCTGCCTAAATCCACAGAATCTGCATTGCTGTCAGATGGCCATCTAAGCCTCTGTTCGAAAACCTCCAAAGAAGGAGAGCCCACCACCTCCCGAGGAAGCCTGTTCAACCGCTCTAACTGTCAAAATGTTTAGTCAAAAACTCTTCTGATTTAATTTCAACCTGTTGGTTCTGGTCCGACCTTCTGGGGCAACAGAAAACCACTCTGTACCATCCTCTATATGACAGCCCTTCAAGTACTTGAAGATGGTTATCATATCACCTTTCAGTCTTCTCCTCTCCAGTCTAAACATACGTTTATTTCTTGCCTTGGTTTTATTGATGACCACTGCAGAACATACATTCAATGCACTCCAGTTTTATATAGGCATTTGTGGTCATCAAGGGGAAAGTCTTAAGCCATAGCACTCTGCTGATGTTCCATTCTGTTTCTTTCATGTGAATGAGGAACCTGCCATCTGCATGTATGGGGAACGTGCGGGTCCCTGCAGATCGCCCAATACTCATGGTTGTCTTGTGCAGAGTTTCCATACTCATACAGCTTCTGTTCACATAAGCCACAGCCCTGGAAAACACGGCTTGCATGAAAGGAAGCGGAACATGGCAAATCCCATGTACACACAAGACAGTGACTCCTATACTTGGAGTCATTGCCTTGTGTGTACATGAACTGTATTCCCAGTTCATGTGGGTGGAACGGTTCACATAATGTCTTCAGAAGGCTACTTTGCTGGAAGTGAGAAAATGTTTTGCCACGTTCTTAGAAGGTGGGAGAATGGCTACAGGGCAAGAACTTTCATGCAAAGATAGCGGACCGTAAATACATTCTAAAGCTAATCTGTCTTGCAGCAGATGTTTCACGGAGGTCAGCCAGCCGGATCTCTCACCATGGAAGTATAGTGTATATTCTGATAGCTCAAGACGAGATTCCTGGCTTTCTTGGCGAGCTCCAACTTTGCCAACATAGACTTCAGGCATAGACTTCAGGCGGATGTTGTCTTGATGTTATCAGAACTGATGATTCTGCTGGAGGAGGCCAAAGAGAAGGTCTCATTTGCTGCTGTTGTCATTCAGCACTTACCTTACAGTCCATCAGTGGAGACTTCCCTAGTTTGGAACACCATCAGGTGAATGTGTGTGGTCAGAGATTTTTTTCAGTGGGTGCAGAAGTCATCCAAGATAAGGATAGTCTGGCAAAAGTAGAGTTCCTGACGTTGCAAGAAGATATTGCATTGAAATAGGTTGTTCACGACTTGGTATCATTTTGGTGAAAGGTGGTGATGAATGCCTGATTCTCTCTGGCAGAGTCCTCCAAGTCCGGTTCCTCTCAACGTATCCCACGAGCAGTGTTCCCTCTAAGCTGAGTTAGTGTGAGCTAGCTCAGAGTTTTTTAGCCTCCGGCTCACACGTTTTTGTCCTGGCTCAGGAAGGATGGCTCCAGAGCAAATTAATTCATGCAGCAGCCAGATTGCTCGCTCACAACTTTAATGCCAGTAGCTCACAAAGGAGAATTTTTGCTCACAAGACTCCACAGCTTAGAGGGAACATTGCGCCCTGAGGCTGCCTGTTCTACAGTGGTCATCATTAAAACCAAGGCAAGGAATAGATTGGATCTCCCTCACGTCACGTCCCCTGACTGCGGCAAAGCCTTGCGTCTCACACTGTGTCAAGGAGAAGCGATTTCAGCCACCACGCTGATAGGTCCTCCTGCTTTTTCACATGTACGGTCGCCGGAAATTTCCCGCTTCATTGAGGAAAGCGAATGCTGTATTTTTACTAACCAGTGGATTGAACCAAATAACGAAAACAGCAATTTTGTCGTTCTTTCCTGGTTCACTTTTTCATGTTTTGACATTTATAAAAAGGGGATGCAGAAGCTGAAGGGGCTCTGTGTGTGAAGTATGTGACTGCAATAAAGAAGGCCAATGCTATGCTGGGGATTATTAGGAAGGGTATTGA